GATCCATTGGTTTGGCGGTTAAGTGTTCTTGCGTTAGATCTCTGGTTGTACGGTAGTAGGTGCGGACTACCACAGAGAAGTCCTATGCTAAGATAAAGCAGCCATCCATTGCACCCAAGTTCCTTTGGTTGTCAAACTTCGGTCGGTTTATGGTTTCAATGAAATTCAATAGCCTTTAATTACTAGTAAATGAATTATCAACGGAACAGTCCTGTGAGGATCGCTTAAACTGAATTTCTTTTTTCGTAATGACAAATTATATCTGAAGAAATACAGCTTGCAATTCAGAAGTATCATGCAGATTGAAACTGAAATAGGAAAATAGAGATCATAGGTTTTCCACCATATAGTAAAGAGATCTCATGTTTCCCAGTAACAAACGAGCGTCGATGATTAATGATAAATATCCCTATATTTGAATAGAATAGTTGTCTAAATCTCTCTCGTTTATACCAGATCTTCAACTGAGATCAGTTCATAGTTTAAAAGTATTAATCCTTACGTTCCTAGAAATCTACATTATTTAAAACGCTTTGTGGGACATAATATTTCAGTTTTCAAAACCTAAATCCTTGAAGATTATACTTATTGAAGTTTTGTCAATCTTGATATCCCTATCAATACAAATATGAAATGAATCAATTGCATCTTAAATATCTTGAAATTAATAAGATTATTTGTCAATATGGTCGTCAATGATCCCCGTAACTTTATTGAAATCACGAACTGATCAGTATAAGACAACCATTGAAAAAGTACAGGCATTGAATGGTTACTTAATCCTAGTGCAGAGCTCTTCGGTGGTAGTACATATACATGGGATGCATTTACATCCAGCTGACGAGTCTCAGATAGGACGAAACGCGCGTCATGGATTCAACTGCTAACCACAATACATATCTGTTTGTGAATTAAGGCAAATCAAGGCAGTCCACACAGTATGCACATGTGCCAATTAGAGATTGATCACTTGCAGTCCTAAACAACAATAGGAAGATTCAAGCATGCAATACTAAGAAATGTTACACAGTTTATTTTTATTTTTAATTGAATGGATTTTAGTAGGTGGAAAGACAATACAGTGATAATTAAAGTTTAATAATAGGAATTAGTTCTAATGTGGACGTTTTACTTATCTCGAAACAATTTTACTATGAAAGAGTTCTCTTTTCAGTAAAATCTACTGGCTGATTTTAGTTGTACACAAATTGATTACCGAGATAGGACGTATTTGACAGATATTTCATCTTAGTACTTAACTTCTCAGAACCCAAAATCGTCTGTATGTAGTTGACTGATTTTGAGAGATAATTTCTGAAGTTCTAACGAGAAACTCTAACCATGTTACCTTCCAAAGACACTGGATGATGATTGTTCAATGTCACAAATGTAATTTATTGGATACCGGCCGGTGGTCTAGAGGCTGAGTGTTCGTGTGCGAGAACGACGGTTCTGAGTTCTATCTTCTGAGTTAGAATGGTGAACTTCTACTACTAAGTAGTCACATACTGGGACTAATTAGTTAACTGACACTTCCTAGTCTTTACTGGTTGACTAACTAAGAACAGTCTATGATATAGTTTGCAAATTTTCGATGGTGGTCTAGCTTAGATCAACTCATGAATTCAACTCATAAAATGACTACAATCTCCAAATTAACACCGTTGGATGCCACCTCAGCAGTCTAAAGAATAGAATTAACAAAGGAATAGCAGTGAAAATATAACTGGATTATACATCACAAAAAATCGAATTATCAATATAATAAACCATGATTACAAATGTCGAATTAGTAAATGTACAAAATGTTTTCATTTTCTTCAAGTTTATGAGATAATTAAACTTTCGTTTGGATGAGACTTCAACAAACCTGGATATTTACTCTAGACAATCTTTAAGACTAAACTACAAAGACTGAGTTAAGATCAAGTGTGTTTTTGCCAATTGGAGAGGATGAATATAATCAAGACACACGTAGTTCATTCCCGCTCTCTCATTGATGATGAATATTTTACCTCTCATCGTTTTATACTCCTCAAACCTGTTAGTAAATTTAAATGGAGTATAATTGATTAGTGTTGTTTTAAGATTGCCTTTTTAATTACAATGTATTATAATAATTACCCTTGACTGTTTCACTTTATTTACTTTCGGTGCCATTTTAGTACATGTCCATCCACTCCAACTTTTAAGTCTTAATTTCTCATTCATTTGTATGCATATCTATGCAAACAGGTAAATTGGTGAAAACATGGGGATATGATGTAACTGTTTTGGTGAATTGTAAACATTTTTTTAAAAAAAATCCGTAATCACAATAATTTAAACCATAAATCTAACTTAAGCAAAGATGGATAGTGGCTAGCAGTGGAATCCAGAATGCACGTTTCGTTCTATTTGGGATTTGTCAGCTGGATGTATCTACATCCCAGAGTTGATGTTCACTTAAGGCTATTATTATTATTATTATTAGCTTTATTCAATATTATAATTTTGGTACAATATAGAATTCTCAGCGCAAAGTATTTCAACAAGTTTCCGTTTCTTTCTTCTTCGTCGGTCCTGGCGATAAATATTGAGGAATCGCCAGTTAGATGTTAGCACTTCAGTGAATGAACAACTGAATAATGTACATTCTTTTCGTTGTACATTGCCAGCAACCATATTGTCTCTTATTGAGTTTTCTGTAACTTTGACAACGAAAGGTTGTACACTTTTCAGAAACGCAGCAGAATAGGTTATGCGATTAATAAACATAATGATATATTAAAACAAACAACAATAGATAACTTGTTGAAATATCTAGATGGCAGGAACAGGTAGCCCAGATGCTCAAGCAGGCCGCTCAAAGCATCCGGACAGGATGCACATATGCCAACATGGGAAGATACAAGTAAAACAACACCAAGTGAACTTTTTTTTTTTTTTTTTTTTTTTTTTTTTTTTTTTATATCAGCGGCCTGCTTGAGCATCTGGGCTACCTGTTCCTGCCATCTAGATATTTCAACAAGTTATCTATTTTTGTTTGTTTTAATATATCATTATGTTTATTAATCGCATAACCTATTCTGCTGCGTTTCTGAAAAGTGTACAACCTTTCGTTGTCAAAGTTACAGAAAACTCAATAAGAGACAATATGGTTGCTGGCAATGTACAACGAAAAGAATGTACATTATTCAGTTGTTCATTCACTGAAGTGCTAACATCTAACTGGCGATTCCTCAATATTTATCGCCAGGACCGACGAAGAAGAAAGAAACGGAAACTTGTTGAAATACTTTGCGCTGAGAATTCTATATTGTACCAAAATTATAATATTGAATAAAGCTAAAAATAATAATAATAATAATAATTAATAACTTGTCAGTTTAATTCTATCAAATCAACTATCACGTCTAACAAAATTAACAATCAACCCCCAATTTTGTACTATTCAAATGTTTTAAAGCTCAAATAGTTTGATAAAATTCAATTATACCTATAGGTGAGACTTCCTTAAAAGTGGTATTGGACAATGATTTTGCGATATAGTGAACTATCTTAAGTATGAAATATAGACCAATATATACCAACTGAGTTATCTATAAGGTCAAATCATCGCAGGGAGGTTTGAAGAATCTGCTTAATTCCCTAAAGGTTTGTGAATGAATACTCACAAGAACTCCCATACTAAGAAGACGAAGCAATTATCCACTACTAGATGTTCAACAGTAGTTTTTTTGACTAGAATCGGTCCGTGATATCGACCGTCGAAACATACTCATATATATCCATAAACACAATAAATACCTTATAGTTGAATTCGTGAGTCTATTGAAACTGGACCATCATGAAAAACCCGAATGTACTGGACGGCCGTTTCGTACTAGTATGGGACTCCTCAGAATTGTGCATCCATGATCCCGAGCCGCGAGATTCAAACCAGTGTTTCCAGGTTTTCCATGGCAGTTTAGCTTCAATTGACTCATTAATACAACTATTAAATTAACAAGATCTCCACAAAACTCCATTCTGATAATAATCAACATGTGCTTACTAGTGACTGGTTTCAAGTGGTATTTCCTGAAGTTCTAGTGTGAAACGGTGACCAATGGAGTCGAACCAGGTCTGTTATGAGATAGTAACTCACTGATAACAATGTTGGATGTGTCGCTCGATTTCGGTGATTAGTTGGAATTAGACATTAACACCATTGGATGCCGGCCAGCTCAGTGTTCTAGAGATTAAGTGTTCGCGCGCAAGACTAATAGGTTCTGTGTTCGAATTTCGCGAAGCGGGATCGTAGATGTGCACTGCTGAGGAGTCAAATTCTAGAATGAAACGGTCGTCAAGTGCTTCCGTGGTTGCCATGGTAGTCTAGCTTCAACTGACTTATGAATACAACTATTAAAATTACTAAAAAATCTCCACAAAACCTCTTCTAAAAATACCTTCTCATCTCTATTTCCCAATTGGTAGTTCGATGAATTCAGGTAAAACTTTATATATAATCTATCACTGTACACACATACACACACACACATATACCCATCGAACTACGAACATTCATACATTTACCAATCCAAGTATAGAATGATTTTAGATTGGTTAATTTCAATTAGTTAACTATTTACAAATGAAAATTCACTGGAAAACTAAATGTTTTTCATCATTATAAACTTTAATATTAGGCATTATATTCTAGTCAATATAAATAAGGAATACATTCTAATGTTCCTTGTAATGGGATAATACTACTACTATTACTACCACTACTACCACTACCACTACTACCACTACTACTTTTACCACTACCACTACTACCACTATCACTACTACTAATACTATTAATAGTAATAATAATGATAATAAGTTCCCAGTTATGTATGATCAATAATGAAAGGAGTACAGAATATTTCATTATAATTAAATCATGAATATTATTATAATCAATGATTATATTCTATTAATTTATTTAATATTATGGATTAATGCTGATGAATTTCATGTTGTTTCACCAGGACCATGTTTACAAGAAGGTGATGCCTATTGTATGAGACGTGTTGCTAATAGTATGTGTTCATTAGAGAAAAATGAATGTTTTTGTAAACCTGGTTATGTATCAATACAAGAAAGTTATGGAATTACTTGTAAAACATGTAAGTGAAACTATGTAATATTTATTGAATAGTTTTTAAAAGTTATATGTTTATCATGAAATGTTATAGAGCTTGAGTTCGAGAACGATTGAGGTTTTTTTGATGTTAATTATCATTGAGAGGAGTCTTATCATGAGATGAAAGATTTGTCTAATGCTTCTTGGTCTGTACTGTAAACTGTGAAATAGATACATAATTTGTATTACGGATCAATATTATTATACTTTATTTATTTATTTGAACACATAAACATTGGTACAGCAGGGGAGGGGGTAATCAAATACATTCCAAGTTATCAGCCATAAAATCTAAGCATAATGAACCATACTTAGAAAATCCACAATATGATAATAGATAGATTTATATATTTGTGTACTAATGGAACACGAAGAGAACTTGGTAGAAATCTTGAATAATCGTGTCAAAATGGGTTTTTTTGCTGATACTACCAGTAATGATGAATTGATCGTCTCACTAAGAATAGTGTCCGGCTAAATTTCCAGCAAAAAAGAATAAGACAGAATGTAGTAACTATTATGAAGAAGTTACAGAAGTACAGAAACGACGCTACAGGTGAAATAAAGGTCGAAAAAGTTGTTCAGAAAATGTATACTTCAGCCAAACTGAATGTGGTTCTCCACAGTTGTCTGATATTGAGAATCATTAATAATGACAGACCGTTTGAGTTTGCCAAATCTATGCGTGTTTAATAATTCAACTTCTCTTGATGAGCCAATTCTATGAAATGTACAGTTGGGCAAGTCTATGATCTTAAAGCAGAAGACCACATAGCCTGGTTAAACAAGCTACAGTTAAGATTTCTTTAAGTTTCGTTATTTCTATCCGACCGTTTAAGTATATTTTACAATATTCACTTGGAATGCACCATTTCCTCGAATCAAACTAAGTATATCTTATGCAGAGAATTACTTGTTAGATTTCAGATGGATAAAGATGAGTGGTATTAGATCATATTGTAGTAAACAGGACCTCAGATCGAGTAGAACCAATTTAATGTTTAATGCTTAATTGAGATCATGAATCTATCAATGTTAGACCACCGTTAAAAATCTGGAAGCGCTGGACGACTGCCTCGTCCTAGCACGGAACTCCTCAGCAGCAAACATCCACAACCTCGTACACGGAAATCGAACGCAGTAACTTTGGTCTTAAACTCCTATCCCTGAGTACGAAGTCGTGGATGTTCACTGTCAAGGCCGAAACGGGTGTCGGTCGCTTTCAGAATCCCAGTGGTGGTCTAACAATGATGGTTTCACGATTTCAATGAAACTCAACAACCTCCACAACCCTATACTTCCAACTTCACCTTAGACTTTAAATAAGTTTTTCAAACTTTGAAAGCTTGGAAGCAACAAACAGCTACTTTGTATCAACTTAAAGGTCGTCACACATCTACCTGTTACTAGCTTTGAGAGACAATTTCTGTGGTTTTATTGAGAAGCGATGACCAGTGGAGTACAACAATTTTGAAGATGAAGCAGTTAACCATGAATGGCATTAGATAATGATCGCTCGAAATCCCGAATTGACTGAATTAAAAAGTGTAAACCATTATATTGCCAACTTAGATGTCTGAAATTCAAGTGCGTATCCCCAGAACTTTGAACTCTAATTTCGATCCCAGATAGGGTTGCAGATGTGTATTGTAAAAGAATACCACATTGATGAGGAATAGCCACCTATTTTTGTTGGTTTTCGTTGTCTGCTTAACCAAATTCAATCAAAAGTCTTACAAAAATACTTACCACTTATTCAAAGTGTAATTTGTTTTCAGACATTCAAAAGATAAATATAAGTAGGTCCAAATAAGTACGATAATTTCAAGTAGTTTTGAAGGGAATTAATTTAATTCACATATATTTTCCCGAGTGGTTAATTAATACCTATATCGCAAACAAAGCGTTAGCGTTTTCTTGGGCATTTTTTTAACAAGTTTGTTTTCTACGAGATGGATTTGCTAACCCCATGCCTAACCCTCCTCCTTTATCAGGGCATGGGATCGGCAGCAGCTCCAGGGGGGCTCCAGGCGGAGTTCTGGTTAGAGATCGCAAACAAAGAATATTATCTGTGCTAAAGAAATTAAAATAAATATATTATGTATCTTGAAGTCTATTAGTGTAGTTAGCTTGTGAAATCAAGCAAACCAAACGAGATTGATTTCAATTTGGATTATGAGGTTAAAATGTTACATAGCTTATTATCACCCATGTGCAATGATTATATAATGTGTAATCTATGGTCTACAAGGCCTCAACAGTATAACCGTAGCTTTCAGTATGTTAAGGATCGTCTCAAATATGGGAAGGAACTTTTACTAGTCTGTTAACAACTGACATCATTTATAGCGAATAGTTAACTAGTTGTGTAGTTCTCTTCATGGACTAGTAGGGGATATTGTAAAAATTGGTATCTACGATTCCAATAGTTGTTTGCTACTTTAACTAGTGCTATAGGACAATTGAATAAATAATTATCAAGGGCTATTTCGACAACTGATAACACTATATAACTTGCCGAAATCTGCTAAATAGAACACATGATTTATTATCGGTAATACAACAGGAAGTTGTCTATCAATCAGATAGTTCGAAGTCAACTAGACAGAATAACTAGCATGAACATATGGATACATCGAGTTAATAAAGTCCATAAGGATATCGTAATTAAATGAAAGAAACCTTTAATAAAGTATCTGCCATTACTTTTACTCTTCACTAAATACTCATTCTTATATGTACAAGTGAAGTTATTTCCTAATATAATGATAGCGACACTAGGTGACGTAGGTTTGAAACACCATGTATATGTGCCAAGAACTAAATGAATATGACATTTATCACTAATAACAGTTAGTTCACGGCAAAAATCTGTCCTTAAACATACCATGTTGATAATTTGTAAGTTGATACATACTGTTTAACAAGTTTAAGTCTTTTGTTTTGAAATTTCCTCTTATCTTTTCATGGAGATTTTCATCAAAAATATGTCATTAAGAAATTAAACAAACTTAAGATGGTTGACAGAGTAGTTGACAACACTATCGAACAATAAACCTCAATATAGAAAGTTTAAATTGATAAATAAAGAATGACATAGTAATGGATGGTGGTAGCTAACAGTAGAATCTGAGACGCATGTTTCGTCACATCTGGGATTCGTCAGCCGAACGTACCTAACTTTACGAGTTGATGCTCACTCTAAAATTCGTAAAGCAGTACTATTCTCTTCATAAACCATCACATTATCCATTTATCTAATGAGTCCAGTTAGTTAATGATTTATGCAATGGATCAATTGCAGTCTTAAACATCGACAGAATGATCTAAGAAAACCTGTACATATAAATGAGTAATGTAGTTGGAATTAATACTGTTGACTGAGCATTGATTAGTAACCAATGTCATGTTTGTCAAGTTCGTTAATGCTAATCAATTCCTATCAACCAATTTGTAGTATGATCACTGATATAAGTTACTTTATTTCAAGTGCATTAATGTTTACATGTTAGATAGTTGGAAGTAGTTTGAACCTAGATATCATGTTAATTGACACTTATTAAACTACTATTTTTCGGAATTGAAAGAAAAAACAACACAACAAACCGTTGAGATCTGTAAAGCAAATGAAATCCGTTAGCATATTGTTTAATACTGAAATACATTATCAGTAATAAAAATATTATTGATAAAGAAATGTTACAGAGAGAGATACAGTAAGTAATTAAGATCTATCACATCATTAGTCTGTAAAATCTATCAGTTAATTTTAGAAGGACTACTAGATCAGATGACATGAAGAAAAGCAGGATAAAATTAAATTAATTTCTTAACTTTATGTTGATTGTGATCAAAAGGTTCCACAGAGTTAAGTCTTCCTTACAGTTACAGATTCATTTTTGTAAATGTTACAAAGTATGTTAATGAGATACTTAATAAGAGAGAAGTATTAATTGTTGAGCGATAAATCTTATTTGTTCAACTAAACAATAATAAACATAGAAATTATTTCTGTAGTTAAATAGGGGTTATCAGTGGAATCCAGGATATATGGTTTTCGTCCCATATGAGATTAATCATTTGGATGCGTCAGTGTAGTGTCGGTTGCTATGTTGAGTTCACATAGCTTATTCTAGTTTCCGGACAGGAGTTACATTTTGACCATATTAATTATTCGCTTGTCAACAGTGACTGTCCTATTATGTAAACATATGTGTGTACATTTCCTATCTTACTCATCATATGTCTGTAGCTTATTCTTGTTTGGCTAAATCGAGTTGGTTCACACACCGTCTCCACTCTGATTCATTTCGTTTCACTCTCATCTATTCGCTTTCTTTTTTTCGTCACTCTGACTGTCTGTCCAGATCATCGAGTATGCAAAATATACTTATTCAAACATCCATTCTCGTATCTGACTTATTTTAATTCCGTTATTCACCAACAAAAGTTAAGTCGATAATTTTATACGAAGATTGGCGACATGTATATCACAATAGCGATCATTCAATAACAATCATTCATATGATCTAAGTGGAGTCAGATTCAGAACCACAATATCTACATCCCAGTGTGGGTGTTCACACTAAGACTTAAATGCAGTGTCTTTTACATGTTATTTTAAATTAATATGATATTTTATACATCTGCAGACCTAAAAGGGTTTTCAGAATTCCCTCGATAGATGCCTAGTGCTTTTTGGTCAACTTTGAATACTCCTCATTGTGAATAGGAAACGACGGCTGCTCAGAGAATTTTATTGCTTGATTTATATCATGAACAATTTCTAAACACTATCTTCAATAAGGCAGATGTTAACTAGAGAATCCTTAACAATATAAGAAGCAAAATGAACTGTTGTTCTGTCCTGATTTACAAGTCCTCAGTAATATGTATTTATAAACTACACAAGGTTGAACTAAGCATATTCATGTGTGTGTTCACTATGGTAACTTTAAACTTCTTAACTTACATAGTTTTTAGGTCGAAAGTGGTTTTTGTCAAATCTATACTTAGTAGATGCTAATTTTATCTAACACTGTATACTTCAGTTATCAGTTTCAGGATACCTTGAATTGAACGAAAAAAAACACAGTCCAAAGGTCTTCATTGTTCAAAAGTTCTATAGTGCGTTTCATTTCGTGACAAAATTGATCCCTTTAAAAATTTCTACAAATCTTTGAATTAGTTATTTATTATCAGTATAGGGGTTGTGGAGATTATTTAGTTCTGGATTGAGATTATGAACCGATTGATGATAGAGCACCATTCAAAACCTGGAAGTACTTGACAGCCGTTTCGTCCTATTGTGGGACTCCTCAGCGGTGCGTATTCAGGGGCCTTCAGTCTCGCTCACGAACGCTTAACCTCTAAACCACTGAGCCGTCATTCAACGGTGTTATTTATTTGTAACTTAAATAACATAATGATAACTTTTAACTGTACACATAATTGTTGCATTTAGAAAGATATATATATATATATATATATATTTCATTTTGTAGTGTTAACCAATTTAAAATGTCAAGTGGATAGTGACTGTATACATGTAGTGAATAGTGCATGTCATCCAGGTGCAGGATATTGTGCTTGTCCAGGTGGTACAATTTATGTTTCTCAGGATAATGCATGTCGTAAGTTCTCATTGAATATATATCTATCTATACATTTCTATACTACTTATTTGGTTTGAGATTTAAACGTTCATTATAGTATTTATAAATATCACAAACATTTGTATTCATTTACTACTAAGCCAATAAATATCTCTTCATTTCAACGACTGTGTTTTAGATACAAACATTTCTTCATCTACTTTTTATTTGTTTTAATTTTAAACACACATAAACATTAGCACAAAGAGGTACCAAATATATATATGCCACGTAAGTCACTCGATTTGTGTGAGGGCTGGGATAATGTCCGGGTGCACAAACCAATAAGGGTGGTTTTCTTGAGGGGGCACACCCGGAGCGTTCGACCTAAAGGTCTGATTCACAAGACAGTGGAGCAACTTCAGGAGATGCAGTCCCATGGTAGCCGGTGACAAATAATTGGTTCATATGCCATTTGTTTCCTTAGGATCCTTAAGCACATGTACATCATTGGTTTTGAATCAGGGTTTTTTCAACTCCCTTAGGTGAACTCCCCGTGTCCGCCAACCCGGTTAAAGCGCTAGACATTCGCTTTTCGTCCTCTCAATTTCGTAAATAACACCCCTGCCACGAGAAGGCGGTGAGTAGGACTTCCGTACTTTAGTCTTAGTTTTATTAACAGAGTTGATATTTACTGGGTTGTTTCGATTATGCAGATAGAGAATAATACCTAAATACTAAGTTGAAAGTTTTTGTTCAATTACGTAATGAGTTAATTTTAACTCTGATATTAAATACCAGTATATTTAAAGAAACTTTACACAAATTCAGGAAAATTAAAATTCACTTTTATAAACCAAATAACGTTTGAATTTATAAAATTTTCATTAAAAGAACTGAATTTTCTTCTTTAAAAGATGCATACAGTCAATATTAAACGTAAATTAGTTAACAATGAAATAGAAATGGGAGTTTATGGAGTTTGTAGTAATTCGACAGTTGAATTCATGAGTTGACCATCATTGAAAACCTGAAAGCATTGAAAGGCCGTTTCGTCCTAGTATAGGACTCCACGTCAGTGCGCATCCACTCGAACACAGAACCTTCGGTTTCACGCTTAAACACCAAACCTCTAGACCTTGCCCGTTATGAAGCAGTTACTCGCTGAAGACAATGATCGACGGTCGTTCAATTTCGTGGATGCCGACCAGCTCAGTGGTCTAGTGGTTAAGCGTTCGCGCGCGATTCTGAAGATGTTGGGTCCGATTCTCACATATGAGATCGTGGATGAGCACTGCTGTGAAGTCCCATAATAGGACGAAACAACCATCTAGTGTTTCCAGGTTTCCAATGGTGGTCTAGCTTAAATCGACTTGTGAATTCAACTGTTACAATTTAAAGATTATAAAATCTAAACTATTAAAAAAACCAAGTATTATCTATTCTGATCTGTTTTCATCATGAAGAATCCCTTTTAACTTTGATTTGTCTACTAATGTGAGATGTCAACAGATTATGTGATATTATGATGATGCTTCAAAAGAATAAGTCAACCTTTTTCTTTATCTTTAAACGTGGATTCAATGATTCAGTCATATGCTTGAATAGTTCCATTTTGAAAATTCCTATTGAATAAACATTATCTGTATAAGATTTTGTTTTACAGATTATTTCAAAAAGGTTGAGATTCTAGGGTATAATACTACTAATATCAATTTATTTGACTAGAAGTTGGCATGAAACGATTAACATAATGCAACGTATACTTGTGTTTTAGCTAAATGGTTTACTGAAATTTGAAGAAGGATTTCACGAATATCAAGACATAATTTGTAACTGAAAAAAGGGAAGTTTTCCTCAGATTGCATTGGATTTTCTTGAGACTGTTATTCACCATATATTGACTTATATTTTCTAGAGTCATTAAAAATTATGAAACTCTAACTTAGCAGTTGTTGAACTGTTAAAGAGTGAATACTCACAACTATTAGAAGACCACATCCAGAAATATTTAAGCTCCTCAGAAGTGCGCATCCATGATTTCGCCCACGGGATTCAAACCCAACTTGTATTACAACACTAATATTTTATACTATGGGATTATATTATTATGATCAGATAAAGTAAACAACGAACACGATGTTTGGTTCATTTAGTTTGCCTGTAGTTTATCAAGTAGAATATTTCTCTAAACAAATTACTTATTATAAGCAAAGATAGATAGTGGCTAACAGTGGAATTCAAAACGCACGTTTTGTCCTATTTGGGACTCGTCAGCTGGATGTACCTGCTACTCAGAGTTGATATTCACTCTGGGACTCGAACCCAGTACCGTTCGCTTCAAACTCCATAGTGTTATCCACTTAGCTATTGAGTCCTGATAGCAACTGGTTTATGCAATGCGGTTAAGTTTAATATTACTTGGTATTGTTTAGATGAATCAATCGGAAGATTCAAATTACTTATGTTTATATCATAACCAGTAACTAATCATCGACGTCTTCGAATAACTAAGATTTTTCAATAACTTATATAGATTGTCTATTGAAAGGGTTCAGACAAATTAAAGATATTTGCACACATGATCCAAGAATAGCTATTGAACACTTGAAAACTGACATATACATTAGATCTACTGTTTAATAATTCAAAACTTCATATAATCAAGATAAATATAGCTGTACGACAGTTTATACTTTTATGAAGTTTTTTTTTTTAAATGGTAATTGGTTATGATGAGTATCAATTTTAAGTATTTATCTTTTATCAGTAAAGAAGGTCTATGATTAATAATTGATTCCTATAGTTTATATAACGAACTGTCTTTAGTTAAGTGACAAATGAGAACTGGTTTGCTTGTCACAAGACTCAATAATTCTGAATTCAATATTCCGTGAAGGATCGTGGATGAGCACCACTAAGCAATCTCATACTAAAATGAAATAACTACTCAATACTTTCCGATTTTCAATAGCTGTCTACCCCAAACTCAATTTATAATGTAAACTATTTGACTTTTATTTCCTTATCGACCATATTATTGATGAAAATCATTCAATAATTTTACTGATAAAAAAACTCACGCCCACAAATTACAACTTTTATGGTTTGCTATGTAATTAACATACGGTTACTAGTATTCCTAAACATTTTTTCTAATGTACAATCGTAAACATCATAATATAGATAGTAAGAGTTTCGTCAGCAGCCGTATCACCATCATCAGTATCATCATCCATCTTTTTTTAAAAATCACACTCTCATGAAACTGATTCTCAGGGAAATGTGTCTATAAGATAAAGTCAGTAAAAATATTTATAATTTTGTAGAGTTGATTGATCGTACTCTTTATGTCATTTTTGATTTAAGTATTTATATAGAAAATATTGGTGTATTATGGTAAATGTTAAGAATACAATACATGGTATACTGTAAAATATTGTGAATATATGAGATAGTGGAGAAGATTTGTAGCTCAGTTGGATGATTTTGATCGAGTTCTCCAGCTCAGAGAACAAAACTCCATCAAAATTGTGAATATATCAATGGAAAATATTGTTAAGTATCCCTTGGATCATTTTCACTTGTTTCAAAGAATGTATCCACAGAGAAATAGAATAGGAGAATGAGTAGATAGTCATTTTTACAAAGTTTACTGGATGTAATCACAGTACTTTGAATATATTCGTATGTATAACATTGACTATTGATTGTGTTCATTATATGATTTAAGGAGAAATGACTCTATTTTTAGTATTGTAATAGTGATTGTTTCAATTTCATCTTGGCGACCAGTAAGTGATGATCTGATGCTAAATCAGCTCCTCTCTTGGTTCTCACGTCCTCTATAGTCCTCCTGAACGTTTTGTTGATGCAAATATGGTCGATTTGGTTTTGTGTAGAGTGATCCGGTGAAGTCCATGTGGTTTTGTGTATGTGTTTATGTGGGAATATGGTGCCGCCTATGACCAGCTTATTGAAGGCACATAGATTTGCAAATCTCTCACCATTTTCGTTTCTTTCTCCCAGTCCGTGTCGTCCCATGATGTCTTCATATCCAGTGTTGTCCGTTCCAACCTTGGCGTTGAAATCTCCCATCAGAATGGTCAGGTCCTTTGTTGGGCACTTCTCGACTATTGACTGCAGCCTATTGTAGAATTGATCTTTAGCGTCTTCATTGTAGTCGTTGGTAGGCGCATAGCATTGGATGATGTTCATTGAAATGCCCTCTTTCTTTGTTTTAAACGAGGCTTTGATGATCCTTGGTCTATGAGATTCCCATCCTATAAGTGCATTTTGCGCTTGTTTGGACAGCATCAATGCAACTCCTTGTGTATGTGGTGCATTTTCTTCTTCATGGCCGGAATATAACAGGAGCTCTCCTGTAGTTAGTCGTTGTTGTCCAACTTGTGTCCAATGTGTTTCACTGATCCCAAGTACCTCTAGGTTGTATCTTCTCATTTCTGCAGCAATTTGGAAGGCTCTTCCGGTGTCCCACATTGTGCGAACATTCCATGTACCTAAATAAATGGTCGCTCTGGTTGTCAAAAGGGGCATCGGCCTCGTAACTTCCGAAGGAATTCGGCTTTCATCATGAGGCGTCATAATTCTTCTAAATGAAGACCTTCTGACTCCCAGGGCAGAGTTTAAAAGGTTTGAATAATTTTTTCTGGTTAGCGTTTTTTTAGCGAGTTAGTTTTCTACGGGATGGGGACGCTAACCCCATGCCCAACCCTCCTCCTTTATCCGGGCTTGGGACCGGCAGTAGCCCCCGGAGGGACTCCAGGCGGACTCCAGGGCAGACAGTATCACAAAAGTTCAATACGGCCTTTCTCCAGGATACTAACAAACTCAACAAATTCAAGATAGTCCTCAGCAACAAGTTCAGGGCCTTTCATGATCTACTCAATGGAGAAGGAACTACTGTGGAGAGCAACTGGAAGGGGATCAAAGAGGCAATCACTTCAACATGTCATGAGGTCCTGGGTCACAAGAAGCACCATAACAGGGAATGGATCACTGTTGATACACTGGATAAG